CTCGCGGTTATTGTCGCGCTCTCTCCTCTCCCGCGTCGTGGTTTGGATTATTAATGGGGCAAAGAGACTATACACATGTACATATATACCTTATACGCCGTCGCGTGTCAGTCACGCTCCTCAATTTTACCGAAATTAATTTCTTTTTTCCCCCTTCCTCCCCTCTCTTGTCTTCACCGCCACCGTCAACCTATACAGTGTATTAATTTTTGTTACTCATCCTCGTGTAAATACATACACTTACGCGAAGTCAAAGGAAGCTTTTAACGGGGAAAAAGGAGCCCCCCCCCTCCTCCTCATCCGGACAAACATAAAAGTATATAAAGCCTCCATCCCCGACAATAAAGTGATTCCATGCCTTTCTTGTCTTATCTAACGGGGCTGATGTACAAAGTTGGGGCTACACACACCCTGAGATCGCGTGCGGTAATTTGACGAAAAGGATTCCTGCGTTGACCATTTGATATATATAATACGGGATATGTACGGGATACTCAAGGTATTTGGGTCGCTTTTTGGGCTGAATTAATTTGGACGGAGATTATACGTTGAGTGTATTTTATACGCGTAACCGTGTGGGGATGAGATTCTCGTTGTTTTTATGGAAACAAATGAGTGAAAGTACAGTACCCGCGTGTATATATTTTCGAACAGCTCGAAAACAACATTTTTTAATTTAATTGCTTTCGAGTCACTTGGTATATGGACGCTAAAAGATAAGCTTATCTAATTTAATTTGCGAGTGTATAATTATTACAAATGTATAAGGAAAATAATGTAATGTATTTATATAGGTGTACCATTGTGGAATATATTATCCTACTCGGGCACGATTATTTCATGGATTTTCAAACGTTTTGAGAAATAAATTTTTTTTTTTTTTTTTTTCCTTATTAAAGCAGCTTTTTTTGGCTGAAAATATTTTGTATTTGTCATTATTCAAAGTAGAATATTAAGAAAAATTGTTTCTGGAGGATAATCGCAATACATTGACTATTTTTCATTTATTTTATTCAAATTTTAATGCATTTGTTGTGTCCTCCTCTAAGTTCAATACTTATTCTTGAATTCGGAATAATCAATAACTTAAAATCGTTATATCTCCGTAAATAATGCAGATATAGCGAAAAGGACGATATTCCGTGATCATGAAAATAGAAAAAAAAAGTTTTCCAAGCTATAGGACTTTAGCCACTTGAAACGATTAAATAATAATATGTACTCCAATATCTTTTAGATCAGCTTATTATACCACAAAGAGCATAAAAAATGAGTGGCTATCCTCTTAGAGACACTTGTGGAAAAAGGTGATCGGGGTTGCGATTTCGACACTTCTTTTAATATTCGTTCCTAAAACTTTTTCATGTTACAGATAAGCTTATTATACCACAAAGAGCCCGAAAAAAGTACCATGTCAAAAGTATCGATGAAAACAAAATTATATTTAGCTTAAACAATGCGTTATACTTTTAGCAAAAAAATGTATTTTCAAGAAAATTGAAAAAGTATCTGTACCCAAGTTAGCATCTTCCCGTATGTTTCTATAAAATGTGATCAACTTCGTGTTCGTAAGTATACGGTTACTTTTTTCTTGGTGGATGAGAGAAAAACCATCAAAAGCTACGCTGACAATGTTTCAATATGGTTACAATGAGTCAGTGTTTGCGAAGCAGATATATGCGTATACGTGTACGTGATAGCGACCAACGTTCGTTTTGTACTGTATATAATTAGACTCATTGTATCGAGTATCAGCAGCGTCATCGTTTATCCTGACGTTCTGACCCTAATATTTTTTTCAGTGTCTACATGGGTTATTTTTTTGCAAAATAATTTTTTGTTTCTTTTTCATGAGTTCAATGGGCATTTTTTAATTAAACATCTAGAAAAACTGCATTTATGACGTTAGAGATTTACCAATATACCCAACGAATAAAAAAAAATAAAAATTTGCAAAAAAATGTATAAGGTTATAGCGATAATTGTTTGTTTTATCTTAAGGTAGTCAGTATTCCTAAGAAGATGTAAAAAAAAAAAAAATGGGATTACAAAAAGATTTTTTTTATTTCCAGCGTCAGAGTGTTGGCCCCTTGACCCTGTGTACGTAAGTAATTGTGACCACGATGTACTAGAATGTCGTGGACTAGTTTGGAAACATTGTTTTTTAATCTCATAGTGTACGAGAGAAACTCATCAAGGCCTGCGAAATAGTAATATTGTAATATTTCTTGTTTTCTTATTTTATACCATTTATGTATTTATTTTTTCGGCTTTATGCTAAATAATTTAGAAATGGTTATGTATATGAAATACCCATGGAGCGTTTGATGTAAAAACAGGGGTTTTCAAATGTTCAAATTAAATATAAATCTTTGTGATTAAATTTTTCAAAAGAGTTTTTTTTTTTTCATTTGGAAAGCCGATTTTGGGAAATTCCTTTTCAGCCATTTTCGCCAATTAAATTTTTGAAAAGAGTTCTTTTTACTTATTTGAACAGCTGATTTTTGAAAATTCCCTTTCAGCCATTTTGTCTAATTAAATTTTTCAAAAGAGACAAATTTATCAAAATCTACAAAAGTGAAATCGAGTCCTGCACAACTGTACTACGTCACAATCCACTTATTGCTCATTTTAATGAGGTATACCATCAAAGAAGATTCAAACAAATGAAAGCCTCTGCTATCAAATCAAAAACAGTACAATCAAGAAAATAAAATCTTTCATAAACTTGTAATTGGAAAAGCAATCATCACAGCAACTCCACCTTTCCAAGCGTTCCTTATATAAATTGATAACGTGACGATCCTTCATTAAGGTATACGTACTCGTCGTAAACCCAACGTTTAATCCTTTTTTCGTCCCTCACGCACACCATGTCAATTTATAGTTACGCTGAATGTAACGGTCTATAGGCTATAAATGTAGGTAATATCGGTTAGTTGACTGCATACGAAATAAATGTATAGCACGTGTGTGAGTATAATTACTTTAAAAGGCCATTTATATATCAATTTAACACGTTTCTCGTGATTAGTTTCTTTTGCATATTTCATGTAACTGGAAAACTTTGAAACAAAAGATAAAAGGAAAAACTGTGTTCTATTGTTGTTACGGTCTGTTTACGAAAAACAGTGTTCTTGTATAAAAATAATATAATTACAGTGGTTAATTATCTACACGACAGTTCTTGCGGTAAGTCATAAATATATTATTGTATAAACAGACTTGAGCATGATTTATGGAAAAAAAATTTTTTTCTCGAAAGTGCATTCTTTTTTTTCTATTTATCACAATTTAAATAAAATACTCAAAAAAAGTTTTTTACAGCATATAAGAATATTTAAGAACGAAAGTTTTTTCTTTCAAACTGTAATGTATTATTACTGCTAAAAAAAATTTATTCATCACGTATACGTTTGGTAAAAAAAAAAAAAAAAAAAAAAAAAAAAAAAAAAAAAAAAAAATGAAAAACTATTAGTGCCCCAGTCTGATAGTCTTACTTTACTATGCCTAACGTCTCCTTTACGAACCTCGTTACGGACCTTGCCTTCGGCTCGGGCCGCAAACCTCTCGGTTCGCAAACAAAGACTTTTCAAACTCGTAGGAAAACTACTATTTTTTCCAGCAAATAAGTGAAATAAATATTTTTCGTATTAAATTTAATTTTAAAGTATTGTTAAATACTTTATTCAAATACCTAGACTGTTTTTTTTTTCATCAAATATTAATTGTTATTGTTAGTGTTTTCATGAGCAGCAAATAAAAAAAAAAATTTTTTTAGCATTAATAATGCATTGCTCTTTTAGCAAAAAAAAAATTGAAAAAGTAACTGTGTCCAAGTCTGTGTGTAAAAGGATAAAACAATAGCCATGAGTTGAGTAAAAATGTGTAAAAATGTACAGCAGGAATATTAGATATACCATTACGTGACGTAAACTATACTTGAAACGCGATGTATTATGCAACAAGTAGCTGCCAACTTCAACAGATGTACAAAAGAATCAATTCAAATGTGCTTTATGCACCATAGATATAAAATATTTTTTTTATTCAGAAAAATCTTTATCATAATTTTTTATTAAAGATATATTTTTTTTTTAAACTTTGCTTTTCGTAAATTATTAAGACATTTTTAGACAACAAATATAAATATATTACATGTCAGTGAACAAAACGTTTTTCCTTCTTCTGTCAGTTGCCACTAAAAAAATTAACATAGAGAGTGTCATATTTTTTATTAAATCAATTGATTGAAAACAGTAAATAAATAAAAAATAGGTATGCCATGCGCGTCAATATATATGTTCCTTTCAACTTCCAACCACATATACGTTATTTTTAATCCAAACATCTGTCATCACTCCGGATAAAAATATCTGACATTCAATTCGAATTTTTACCATCAAGTTTATCGATAAAAATAAACAATTTTTATAAAAAGCCACATGTTTTTATTACGACAAACGTTTATTTGTTATTTTAACAATAAAAAAGATCAGGCGTTTGATCCTACATGAATAAGTATTGACTATACGAGGAGAAAGCGTAAAAAGTTTTTAATTTTGAAAATACAACAAAGCGGGGTGTAAGTATATAGTAGAAACGAATGAAAAAAAAAAAAAAAAAAAAAAACAAAACAATGGGAGCGCGCAGTGTGTGTAAACAAGTATCCCAACCTAACCTCGAAGCCTCGAACTGAAAAAAGAGTAGACTGTACACGACGACGAACATATGCATGAGAAGTATCCTCGAAAGATCAAAAGGGGAGTGAAAAATGTATAGAAATACAAAATAACCACAGAGAGAAACTTCAAACATGCAAAAAAAATCGAACAACGATCAATATGACCATCAGCTGACGCGCCTTAACGCCCGTACTATATAGTACACGTGTGTAAGTGCACACATAAATAATGACAGAAGAAGCGAGCAACACATCACACTTGAAATCCAAGCGTAAGTATAAGTATATGAATTAAATAAATCATGCCAGCACTCACGGTTTAAACGCGCGTCAGCCGGGCTCGCTACGCTTTTTGCGAAAAAAGGACTGCACTCGTACAGCCACGGCATCTCCCCGAGGCATCAGCAGCTCGACGACTTCTCCTGCCGATGATGATGCTGCATCCGTCACTGGCTCCAGGATCTACTTGACCAACGACTTCTACAACTGACGAGTGCACCACTCCGGAGCAAGGCATTTGTCAACCGATGCATGTATATCGTGTTTTCTCACTGTCGTTACATTTTTCTCATTGTATAATTCATATTATCGTTTAATTATCCTTGTGCACTTTGACAACAACAAAAAAACACGCGGATGAAGTAGAATAAGTATACAATGTGCGCCAGCGTCGAGTGAAAGTCGCCGACTGAGGACAGCTAAGGACTGCGAGGAGGACCTGAGTGTTTGGGTATAGACTAGCTCTGGGGGGCCGCGCAAAAGCCTGCGAAAATAGATAAGTATATAATACACACACTACACCCGGAGAGCGAGGACGCCGCGCACGTTTCTTCCTTTACTTGCAGTGCAGCTAACGTAGGTAAGTATATATAGTATTTCTCTTTTTCTTACCTCGTTGGACATACGCCGCAATTATTATTGTGTGTGGCTTTTGTCTCTTTCCTTCCAATGGCATCTACCTAGTTGTATTATTTTCTTTTGTTGCACATGTACAAGAGTATATTATACCCTATATACTTACGTACACTTGCCCGAGCGAAAATTGCGAATCTGCACACGTGTGGTACAAACCGCTATACTCGGTCTCCGTATCAAGTGTACCTATAAGTATATACGTGGTGGTATATAGCATTCTTACAAAGTTATACTGTTACTAAAATAAAAAACTTCAATTTGGCTTTTATCGTAAACAATTTACTTCTATTGTTTCAACAAACTTTTTTTATTGCACATACGCACATAAAAGAAAACCCCAGCTATTAGTGCTCTACTAACGCTTTTATATACCTTTGGAATTGTGTGTTTCATATAAAGTTTTGAGCTTACTTTTTTTATGTGTACTTATATTATCTGCGGTTTTATTTCGTTGGATTACCTTTTTTTTTTTACTCCCCTTGTACGACGCTTGACGCCCTACTGACCTGAATAATCTCAACGTATACACTGAAATACATTAGTACGCCTTATTTTTCGAAAAAGAGTTGTTTTTTTTTTTTTTACAGTTAACTGAACAAAGTTTTTCAAACTTTACTCCATATCGAATTGACAATATTAAATTTTATACATTGGAAATCTCTTATCAAATACGGACACGAGACCGTTTGTTCAATTGTACTCTAAATTGTATGAATAAATTAAAAAAATATATTTTTATCAAATCATCGCACGCACAGCGGACGCACGAAAAACTATATAATCTACACTAATAACGAGCGAATCGAAGTCGTAAAAGAACCGCGCTCCTGTCGATGTCTCCCCTCCTTGTGCCCGTTCTCCCTTACGCGTATCATGGAAAAAAAAAAAAAAATAGAAAAATTCTTTTAATTCACGCCTCCTGGTCCCACCCCACAGCTGCATAGAAGTACAATACACGGTGAGAAAGCTGATCGAGGGATCATATATTATTCATCAAAGAAGCGCAGTCTAGTGTCGAAGTATATGTGCTTATACACAAAGGTGGTATACATATATCGGGAGAATTGATCGCTCGCGTTCTTGGAAACCGCCTGCATATTATTTAAAATTTTTCTTGTGATTGGAAAAAAAATTAATGACAGTAAAAAAGAAATGCTTAATCGTCGCAAGTCTCTGGTACTTTGATCACGTACCCGTACAAATCGTTAAAAATCGATACGAAGGTCGCCGTGAGGCTCGGAAGCCTCCAGTTGGGCATACGGCAGTACTTGTAAGTTAGAGTGATGGCGTAGGCCAAATCTTCCAAGCAGCCGATGTCGCACTTGAAGTGATCGTACTTGAGGGATTCGGTTATCTGGTCGCTTTTTTTGTGAGCATCTTTGATCAGGAGCATTGCAACCGATGGCGCTGAGTTCGAGAAAGCCTGAGAGCCAAAAAAAACCAACAAATATTCAAATCGAAGCGCATATACCGATTTTCTGACCCGTGTCCCCCTTTTTTTTTGTTGGTACTACAAAAAAAAAAAAAAAAAAAAAAAAAAAAAAAAAAATATACGTATAGATGGATTTTATTCTTACAACGCCGCTGGTTATCATATTCATGAATACCGGCCAGTCCTCCGAGCACGCGATGCAGTCGCATAAAAAGCAAAATCGACCCAATAGTTCGCATCGTTGTTCCTTCATCAGTTCGGAATACGTTGGCCCGTAGCTCTCGAATAGCTTATTAACACGAAACAAAAAATTATTGCAAAAAAATAAAAAACAAAAAAGTTATTTCACCAATCACGAAACACGTACCTGTTCGTTTTGAGCTATCGGCCGAATGGCGTACAAGATCGTTTGGTGCTCTTTCGTCTCGCACCTCGCCACGTTTGGAAAACAGCTGTGGTTCGATAGACTCAGGAAACAATTGAGATACAGGCCCGTGCTGGTGTCTTCACGCAAAACTGACCAGGTCCAATCCGTCGAGGACACGTTGTACGCGTCTCTGACCTAAAAAAAAAAAAAATCCGTTCACCCAATAATAATAATAATAATAAAAAAAAGGTACACAATCACGCACCGAAGTAGCATTCGTCAGAACAACGTGCTGGTAATGCGACAACAACTTTCCCACCAACAGCGCGTCCTCGCTCCTCATGAGGTCCATTTTCCCGTAGTCAAAGTATTTGCGAAAAACCCGGGTGTACTTGGCCAAAAAGTGCAACATCACGGCAGAATCCTGCGACACCTCCTCCAAATCCTTGTCTCCCTTTTTGCGCACGTTGGACAACAAGCTGTACGCGCTCCGGTAATTGTTGACGAAGCTCTGCTGATTGTTGGAAAACCCCTTCTTGCGCAGATCTGAACGAAAAAAAAAAAAAAAAAAAAAAATCCACCATCACGTGTCTTCCTCGCTACGTAAGTCGCATATATTTTCACACCGACCCTTGGAAGCGTCGATCTCTCGCAGTTGGTCCCTGAGCTCGTGCAGTCCACCAGCCTCTCTCACGGCCATCAACAGCATCCGCAGGCTCATGACCCTCCCGGCGTTCATGCGCCCCAAGACCTTCCAAATCCGGTCGATGATCTTGCACTCGGCGTCGTGGTACATATTCCACGCCTCGGTTCGACACGTCTCCGAACAGTAAACGGCCTGGCTGCAGCTGTCGCAGGGCACGCCTGCCCAAACGAACTCCAGACAGTGCGAGCAGTGACTGTGGATGCTCCCCCTGGCCGGGGCCACGAGGTACGGCCTACCGCTGTAGAGCGTTTCCCCTGGAACGATGTCCCGGGTGGCCGTCAAGTAACGTCCGTAACGAACGTTCCGTCTGCCCTTGGTCACGGCGATGGCGCTCGAAGCGTCCGGACACTCCGACGAGCGCTGCTCGAACTTTCCTGCAAAGCGCCATAGGTTTATTTTATGTTTTTACCATTACAAAAGCTATTGCATCACCTCCTTGGTAGAGCTCGGCTTTTTTCTCTATGGGCCTGTCGTCAAGTGTTTCGATGCTCATGCAATCGGCAATTTTCAGTTTGTGCATGGAATTCACCAGACTAAGGATAGAATCCGTTTTCTCATCCATGGAGGTTTCTGTGCTCAGCAGGAGATGCTGCGTCTGCTGGCACGTGCTTTTGGCGTCCTCGTCCATGTTGAGCGCCACTTCACAATCCACCTTTTGAAACAAAAATCACCCACCATCGAAACAGTTGATTTTTTTATACCAAAAATGAATAAAACAACCGACCTTGCGACAGAGGTACTTGATCCTGCGTTGATCGCCAACGGGTAGCTCGAGGGCTCGCTCGATGTCCAAAATAGACTCTCGGTGTCTGCCCAAGTGGTGCAGCAGAGCCGAGCGGTTACCGTAAGCGAGTCCCAACTCCTCGCTACCCGGCAGAGCTAAGGCGATGCTTCTCGTGTACTCTTTCAGGATCTGCAGGTGAATCTTGACGTTGTGAGCTCGTTCCGTGGCGTAGAGGTCGTTCCCAGACCTTCTGGCTGCCACCGATGCCCCCAAGTTCTTGGGCTGCGGGTCCTCCCATTGTTCCGATTCGATCAAGGATTCCAGGCATCTCAGGGCTTGCACGAGACGACGATCCTCTGCTTTGTTGTCCACCATCTCTGCTCCGCGATTATCTTGAACACGCAAGGGATACACAGTTTCTCTGGTGAATACGTTGTTTTTTTTAAGCGATGACGATGAAATAAAAAGCAAGTCGAAATGCATAGTTTTCATATCACGTTTCTTTTATTATGATTATGTTACAATCGGTGTACAACATTTTACAGTCTTGAAGTAGGTTTTGTGAGATGTTGTAAGTGGCTGATATGGTTTATTGCACTTTTGTATGATCGAGTGTTTACATTGTTGTGAAATGGTACATCATCGGTTGTTAAATATAGTCGTTAACAGGTACAGTATTAAAATTATATCACACACAAAGAATAATTTCAGAACAATAATATAAATCTTACACATTAAATATAAATATAAAAATATTTTTGAGCTCCCCCTAGCATGATATATATTTCTTCACAACCAAAAACGATAACAAATAATTTTTGATGATTTAAGACAAGTCGACTTTCACTCTGTGATAGGCATTGCAGAGAAATCCTCTCAAATTCCATATGTTCTTGAAACTTTCGGGCTGCACGTTGTACGAGGAATCCACAGCCTTAGCCCATACTTCTACTTGTCTTTTTGATTTGTCAACAGGCAACTCGAGACTCCAAAGGGTCCAAGCGTAATGCCTGCCCTCCTTTGCGTTTTTATCCTGAGCCACCAAATCGGCAATGTGCCACGTTTTCCCTTCGTCAGCAGTTACATCCACTCTGATGATTTTGTTTCCTCCACCAGACCAAGCGTAGCCTTCAAGAAACAAATTTAGTTTAAAAACAATATTACATCGATGAAATACATTTTCAAAATACAACTCACCTTTTACTGTTATCGTGCCGTTTTCACCGACTGGTACCTTATCACCTTTCTGGGGAACACAGATGGCTGAAGTGACCGGCATTTCTTGGATGGCAGGTGCCTTACTGAAATCAACATTATGCCAATCGATGCTCGGCGAGAAGCCTTTGTAGTCGTTTTGCTGAAACTGCGAGGGACTTTCGTTTTTGGAAAATATTACTTTGTTGAGCCACTTGACGTTTCTGGCGCCCACCACTCCCGGAACTATGACTCTGATTGGAAAACCATGGTCCAGAGGAATCGGCTCGTCATTCATTTCGTAAGCCAATATCACATCCGCCCTTGGATCGAAGGCTTTGCTTATGGGAATACTGGCTCCGTAAGGAATCCCGGCTGGATCTACATCCGAACCTTCGAATTGAACGTGATCGAAATCTTCTTCTTTAATACCTGCAACGACAACACACTAGATAGTGATATAAAAAAATATGTTTTATAGATCAAGATTAATTTATCATCACTTCATAAGTACCTAATCCTTCTAAAATATCACAAAGCCGAGCACCGGACCAGGTTGCATTGCCAATAGCACCAACGCTCCAGCTCAGACCTCTCAATGGTTTTGCTTCAGCCATTTCTGATCTTCTGTTGCCTCCGCACATAATTGCACTCGTAACTGTATACTTTGGATACTTTTTAATATCATCGAGAGTCAGAGTTTTCACCACCTTTTCGTCCTCGATTGCCAATTCTAGTTCATAATCTTCTTCAAATACTAGCGGGACAGGAAGGTGATTCCTGACATAAAATATGTCTGATGGAGTAATGAAATTCTCTACCAACAGTGGAGATGGAGGCTCGGCACAAAATGGTTGTTTACCATTAACTTTCAATACCTTTTAAACAAAAATTTTTCCAATCACTATAAATATGAAATTTGACTCATTCAAGTTGAACAATTTATAAAAAATCTGTTACGTTACTACGTGCAGGTTCCAAAGCGTAAGGATCAAAGGTATCTTGAGTTTTTTTATATACATCTTCAGCCTTAAGATTACCAACTCTCATCGATTCCAAGAGTTCAAGTATTTCTGACTTGTTGTGATTGGCAAATACCATCCAAAAAGGATCAATGGAACCACCAGCTGCCATCATTATTTTACTTTGGCCTCCAGGATGTTGTGAGACGAAATTTGAGATGTCGTAGACACCCTCCTTGTAAGTGACCCATATGCCACTCTTGGGATTGTCGTGTCTGCTGACTTGTTCCAGTGAATATGTTGGAAGATCATTTCTTTTGACACCACAGGAGACACTTTTCCTACAAGGGAATAATGTGATAAGATAAAATTATAGAGTATTAATGAAGACTACTTCAAAACATTACTTACTCATGTTGTTGTTGTTGTTTGTTAAAAGCATGAACTTGATTTGAGCTAGTTATGAAATCTTTTACTTTATCGCCATACAAGTAGTACGAAACTACTCCAATGAACGATAAAGAAATAGCAGAGTACAGTTTGTATTTTTTATCACCAGCACCATCTTGTTCGCGATTAAACGTATTATACTTCAAAGAAATTGCACTACAAGGTTTTAAATATTTGGATAAACCACCACAGTGTATTTTGTATAATTTTAGTGGTATGCTTCTGGAGTAGCCAAACATGATTTGATAAAAAACAGCAATTGATAGTGATCTTGAATGTTTTTCAAACAATATTACATATTGTTGATGTGTTTGTTATAAACCAAATTTCTTTTGGGCTACTAATTTTCAATCACTGAATACAACTACATGTAAAATTGATATATATTTTTAAATTCGAATTTAAGGACAAGCGAGTGAATTTTTTTACATTGACGTATAAAGAGAATTTACTTATCTCTCCCCGGAAGCACAACATCTGCGTCACAACTACACACGTAAATGTGCATAGATGTGAGAGAGAACCTGTTGACGTGGAAGTGGGCTTGCGGTTTGAATTTTCCCACCTTAATACTTACGTTACTTGTCTTTCAAATGTTTTGAAAAGGTAACTTAATTATGGACTAGTTTCGAATTGTAAAACTATGTTATGTTTTTATTCATGAGGCTCTAAACTTAAGATCAGACAAAGTAAGGGTGGGGGAAAGTTTCTTATTATTTAGACTGTACAGTTAATTAATAACATATTTGGGTACCTACAACTTTTACCTAGACCAACTTAAAAAACACCATCAAAAACTAAGTAATTAGAGTGTATTACTACAAACAAATGAACATGAAAAGCAATCAAGTTTTTTTTATCAAATATTATGTACGTAAGACTAAAAATGCTATTCAAATAATCATAAAATGCAAGTACAAGCATGTATAAATGGGTAATATAGTGAAACAAAAAAATTAAGACTCACCTTACTGGAACTCAGTTTTCTTGATTGTTGGTCGTTTCAAGATTGCTGAATCTGCTAGTTATTGGGGTATGTCGAAACTCAAGTCAACTCTTTTACCGAAACATACGTAGATCAACTACTACTGTAAAACTAAATACACACAAACGAAAAACAATAAAAATGCAAAATTGAGAGCTGCCAGTCAAAATAAACACTTGACAGATGTCTAATTTTTCATTGCTGGGTTTTCTTTTTACTCTACTACCAGTACTTGAATATCACCTTTTAATATAAATGAAATTTAAAAAATAACCGACCGCGAAAATGTATTCTATACGGCTCCGCCATTGTTTTTAAATACTTTGCGCTTTTTTTTTTTATACGGAGTCCAGAATATATATATTCACAATCCGCCGTGTGTGTGTGTCGTCTGCTCCTCTGATGTTATATTCACATGCGCTTGTCAAAAAAGATATATTTACTTACTAAGATTATTGTGGAGGTTATAATTTTGTGCACCAGATTATAATGTATTAAGTGTTTTTTTTATACATATAAAAAATGAACAATCTAATCAGGGTAGCTTTTCGTTGCAATAACATCGTTAATTTCACGGAATGCAAGAGATTCGCGGGACACAGCAAGTGGTCGAATATCAGGCACATCAAAGCTGAAAAGGATGGCCAAAAACAAGCGGCTATGATGCAGCTAACTAGACAAATGAAGGTTGCCATCGCAGGTGAATGGATTTGTTAATATATTTCTAAACATACAGACAAGTACTTGTATTATAATATGTTTGTTTGCACTGGCAGAGGGAAAAAGTGCAAAGCCAGAGGAAAATTCCAAACTTGCCAAACTGATAGAACAAGCGAAAAAGCGATCATTGCCAATGACGACTGTCAAAAGTTTCCTGGAAAAAATGCAGAGTTCGAAAAACAGAGTCAATTCGGTGGTCTTTGAGAGCAGAGGGCCGTCGGGGAGTATTTTTTTAATACACGTTTTGTGCGAGAACGTGAATGCTACCAAAAATCAACTCAACACTCATCTCAGAAAAACAAAGTTAATATACAATTTATTGACACCCCTTGTATCCATATATGACTGACAACTTGGTGGTATGATTAATCTAGTGGATTTTTTTTCTTTGTTCCTGTAGGTTTTCACCTAGTGACATAGCACAGCAAACTCCTTTCCAGGAAAAAGGTGTTATTATAACTGAAGTTGGGAACTTAAGTTTTGATAAGGCCCTCGAAGATGCTATTGAAGTTGGGGCGGAAGAAGCAGAAAAAGGCAATTATGAAGATAAGGAATTTTTTCAGGTAAGTCAATGATTATTGATAAGTTTAGAACAAAAATCAATGTGTTCCTCTATTGGAAAACCTTATTTCAGTTTACATGTAGTTCCAACGATATTTTTAAAGTACGGAATCAGTTAGAAGACAGAAATTATAATGTTATAAGTTCTGATGTGGAATATATTCCAATTGTTACTGTTTCACTGGATGAGGAACAACAAAAACTGGTCGATAAGTTGTACGAAAGACTGGACACAATGGAAGAAGTTGTTAAGATATACAACAATATTGTGTGATCAATTGAAAATTTGTAAATAAATCATCATCAAATTTTTATCAATTGTATAATGTAAAAACAATAATATAACGTTATTCAAAATCGTTGACGTAATTGATTTAATAAATTTACAAAGGTACAATTTTTAAACCAAAAAACTCTTTTTTAAGCCAAGTAACACACTACGAGTCTAGTGATTATTTAAAATTTCGCGTGTTATTTGTTGCTATGACAACTATACTTATAAATATTTTGCAAAGGTTATGCTTGTAATTTTTAAGTAAAGAAAATTTTTTTTGTTGTTTGCTTATGCATATAGGACATCAGCAGCATCACAATGTTTATTCAACTCAGTACAAAATTTTAGTGTTTTTATTGATGAGTAAAGATAAAATTTTTGATAAAATGAACATCTAAAATATTTGCGATTTTATTGGCTTCCCTATTTTCAAGAAGAAATGACGTCGCCATTTGATTACAGGTAAAATTTTCTGAATATTGTACTGATGAGCATTTTTGATACATCAATTGTACATTGATGTTTATATTATAGTGTCTCATCTTTTGTTGTAAGCAATATAAACGACACCGAAGACTCTGAAATCGATTTTGGAGATGAAAATAATTCCAATATTCAGGAGGAGTCTGAAATCTCGTTTCCTACAGATGTGGACAACAATACCAACGAGAGTGATTTCGATAGCCCAGAGGCTGATTTAGTCGATTTGGATGACTTTTCATTTCTCTATGATAATTCGGAAGGAAATACCGAGTCAGAAGACTTGGTTCAAGTAGAATCTGATTCTGATGATGAAGATTTCATTGAAGAAGGTGGTTCTTTCATGGAAAAATGTATTACTTTCATTTAAAATTTTTAAATCTTTTCGTTAATTTTTGCTCTTTTTTTCTAGAAAGCGTTAAATTAGATAACGATAATAAACAGTCAGACGATGAGGTAGTTGATTTTTATCACAAATGTCCTATCTGCTTATCTGCATGGACCAACGTTGGAAGTCACAGATTATGCTCCCTCCGATGTGGTCACCTGTTTGGATATAGTTGTATTAAACATTGGTTGAATTCTAGCAATGAATCTGCAAAAAAATGTCCTCAATGTAACGCCAGGGCGTCTCAAAAACACATTCGGTACATCTATGCAAATAAACTAACAAGCATTGATAATTCTGAACTAGAATCAATTAAAAAACAGATTGATGAGACAAAATTAAAAATATCAAAGGTAACAAGAGCCTTACGCAAAGAAAAGAGAAGAGCCAAAAAATATAAAAGACTGTTCAAAAGATTTAAAAAGTAGTTTTGCAAAAAGTTTTTTCAATAGTTATTGAATGATTGTAATGTTCGTTTTCATGCTCGTGCTGTAAAAATTGTAAAGTTGTTTCTTAAAATGTGATATGTGTGATATGATTGCCAATGTATACATGAAATATGACCGGTGATACGACGTCAGTATAACAGAATTAATAAATTTGTAGTTTCACAATTGAAATAATGAACACGCGATCTCGCTCAAATGATTTTGAAATTTATTGTGTACTATTAGTTTACTTTATCTAAGGCTACTATTAATAATCCTAAGGTATTGGACAATACAATTAGTATAACTAAAGCATTCGTTTAAAAAAATTTTATTAAATGCGTAAGGTACGTTTAAAATGCTTTTCAAGAGAAAAAGCAAAAAAATTTTTTTTTGTTAATTACAATAATTAGCTAGCAGCATTCAAAAATTCAATAATACACATTTATGTACAAAGTTTCGTAATTAATATACACCCTTAAAAAATATTTTCATTTGAATCAATAACGATTATTTTATTGACAAACAAAACATTTAAACTAATATTTTTCGGTCAGGTTATTAAGAAAATCCACACCATATCCTTTTATTTCATTGATGTTGGATCCTTTGAATACAGCTATAGGAGTTCTTAAAAATAACGATTTCATGATTTGCTTTGGAGTTCTGAACGATTGAGGCCTTTGAAAACAAGAATTTTCATAATAATTATTTGGTTCAGCTTGAAGCGTATCAGTGGTTTTTTCACTCATTTTCTTTGAATTCGTTTTGTTGAAAAATTCTTCTAAACTTATTACTTCTTCATCCGATGTATTAATTTTTCTAAAACACGTGTTCTTTTCTACGTGTGGATTACAAATATTTTCTTTGAAACCCTCATTATTTTGATTTTTTTCTACATCCGCAATGACTTTAGGCTCTTCTTTCTTTTTTTTTTTTTTTGTTTCATTCACCGTCAGATCAATTTCTTCCATTTTTTCTTCTGCTATTTTTGGTTCCTCTATTTGTTCTTTATGTTTTTTACTCTTTTTCTTCTTCGACTTTTTAACGGAATCGACGTTTTTAATTTTCTGCACATCATCACGAGAAAACTCAGCTACTATATTTACATCCCCACTGTCTTGTTCACTCACAATTAAAACGTCATCGCAGTTTTCTTCTTCGGGAAATTCCTCAATGGTTTCCAAGAGTGACACTCTCCGCTCCCGTTTTCTTTTGCACTTTTTGCTCTTTTTCTCGTTCACTTCGTTATCAGTCTCTTCCACGTTTATGACTTCAATGTCTAAAGCTTCATTGTCAAAGGTCACTGGCTCTTTACTTCTCTTTCTCTTTTTTGATTTTTCACTTACAACTTCATACTTGTCGAGCTTCTTTTTCTTTTTATTAACACTATCTGTACTGTATTCTATCTCGTCATTAAAAGTCACTCGTTTCTTACGTGAATCTTCGTCCGACAAGTTAAGCGCATTGTTTTCTACTCCAGATGTTCTAGGCACTTCAAAGTTATTTGTAGTACAAATTTCATTTTCAGCATAACTGAGATCGAGAGCTGGATTTTCCAATCCATTGGATGAAATTTCAGTTTTATTTTTTTTTCTTTTTGTTTTTTTGGGAGTTGGCTTGTCCGGGAATTCCAAGTCCAAACCAGGATTTTCTATTCCACCTGATAAAACTTCGATATCTCTCTTTTTTTTAGGCCTCTTTGGTGTAGAACTGTCAGGAAGATCCAAATCCAGCGCAGGATTTTCTATACCATTAAAAGTAATTTTACTTTCTTTAATTTTTTTACTATTTTTTGGGGTGGGATTGTCAGGAAATTCCAAATCCAAACCGGTATTTTCGATACCACCTGACAAATCCTCCAAGTCTTTACTCTTCTTTTTTTTCTTTGACGCTGATTTATCGGAACAACTTGAATCTAATGCTAGATTTTCAATCCCGTTTGAAACCACTTCTTTTTTATTCTTCTTCATTTTCTTTGGCGTTTCAATATTTCTATCAACTTCAGTTTTTTCACTTTCCAATGCATCCTCACACATGTCGTCGGTTTTCCTCTTTTTTGGCTTCTTGACAGACTCAGAGTTCTCATTATCTATTTTATCCGATTTCACCACTGGACTGTCCAATATATTTAAATCCAAACATGGATTATCAAAAACGTAGTCAAGATTGTTCAATTTCTTATTTTTAGATTTGGTTTCACTACTTTTTATGAAACCAAAGCCCTTATACTTTCCACTTTCACTACACGAGTTTTTGATATTGGAATTTGCATCTTCATCGAGATGAAATTTACTTTTACTCTTGTGCGAAAAACCAAATCCAGCACGGCCTTCAGCTTCGCTCTCAGAGTTGTCTTTGCATTCCTTTGACTTCTGTAATTCACTGGTACCGAGTTTTTTACTAAAATATTCGTTCATATTTCCACCCTTGATCGTAAGAACCCCTGCAGTTGTATCTTCCGCACCAACAGCATCGTAAGCTATTGTACCATCCTCTTCCTCTGCTCCTTGAGGCTTGTCATCCAAATCCTTTTTGCCAAATATATTTGCCAAATCTTTTGAACTGTACTTGTTGACATCTTTTCCACGTGTAAACTTTTTGTAACTAAAATTGTTAACATTATCAATTATATAAATATCATGAAAAAAGAGAAAAAAAATCTAACTGACTTACTGGACTCTTTTCAGGCTGTTCTTGGACTTTTCCTCCAACGACGTGCCACTCAATATTTTATCCTTATTCTCCTCCGACGTTGGTGCAAATTGTTCTTTCTGCAAATTTTGTAGAAAACTATCAAAGTTTTCCTGATGGCCGGTCCACTGGTCATCTTTATCCTTGGCGAATCCGATGCCCACCTGGTCGTTTTTCACTTTGACCCTCACGTGTTCGACCATACCCTGTTCCTTGGCACCGAGGCCTTTCCCGCTGCTCCAGCCCATTTTTTCCAGCATCTTCTGTCCAAACTTGCTGGAATCTAGTGAATAAATAGTTTTAACATCAATGAAAAATCAAATACACACGTGAGGCTACAACAGCTTTCTAACCTTCGCTCCATTGTTTGCCTCGTGGGTTGAGTGTCCACTTCTGCTTGCGTCTCGGACCAGCAAGCATCGACATTTTACTTTAACAGCGCGAGAGAGAACTTTTACTTAATTTAACCGTTGGACCATCAAGAACACCTGCAACTTTTTTGTGGTACTCTCACTTCTGCAAGACAATTTCAAACCATCAGCTGCTCCGGCTGCTCCGCAAAAAAATACACACGTGTCACGTGACCTTAGGGTGCGTTTTAATGGAGTCTGAGAGTCTGCTCCATCTAAACCAGATATAGTCTATTCTTACACCATGATCTAAACACAGAATTATTTCGGAAATAGTGCCAAATATCAATACCTATTCTTTAAGCTAGGACCTCAGCCTAAATCTGGAGTACAAGACTTATGTAATTAAATAGATGAAGACCCGCTGAATCCAATGGTACCTTCAGTTATGCCCAATGACGGACAAAATCTCGAGATATTAAAGCTCAAAGTTCGAATGTTTTATACAGGCGCATACAAAAAAACGAGAAAAAAGTGACGTAATCACATATTACGAATAAAAAACAAAAATCTGAGTAAAGTGAGTATATGGAACTTGTAGAGAAAATCCTCTTCTTTCGGATCGTGTTGAGCACAATATGGGTTGACGGCCAATTTCTCGAGATATTTAACAAAAACGAACGTAAATACTGGTTTTGTGATTACGAGAGGTAGTCGGGGAAGCCGCCATATTGGTATATGATAGCGCGCGGTTTTTTAAAAGCGAGTAGTAACGAAAATGCTTGTGGTGTCAATTTTTTTTTTGTTTTTTGTGCGCGAAACATAAAATATCGGTTAATGAATAATAAATATGAATGAATATTAGTACAAAATTGATAATAAATAATGAATATCGGTAATAAATTAATACTATAATTAAATTTTATTTAATAAAATTTTTTTTGTACAATCTCATGAACACAGCTTTTAATCACATTAATGTTTGTTAAATTATAATGAATGAGTAAATGTTACAATCTAGTAATTACAATTTTTGATGGTATTATTTATAATATTAACAACACCAAGGGAAGACGTTACTCGTACTTTACGATTAATGCTCGTTGATAGTAAAATTTTGATTCCACATTGTATATCCTTATTATAGGCATCGATGAGAATTTGACGTAACGAGTGCTTGGATAGTTTGTTTGCAGAATCTTTTTGATGTTCATTCATTATTTCAAAAATACTTTACTGACAAAAATAACGAACAGTAAAATTACTACTAAAAAATAACTACTCTGTCACATTAGCAGACGTACGTGTTTATGCACTGATGCGGGTACACACGTCGTCTGCATTATCGATACTGCTGCCGAAGTCAAACTCGAACTTGCGCAGTAATTTGACTATAGTACGGTACTCGGAGGTCCTACCTTAAAAAAAAAGAATTTTATGTGATTGTCCACTGATGATGAAGATTCAATTGAAGAGGATGATTTTTTTTTTATGTCAACAATTTTTTAAGTTTTGAAATTTTTTTATCGATTATTTTTCTCCAAAGAACATTTGGCATGTATACTTTTTGTTTGCCAGTTGGCCCGAGATTTAAACTTCATGTTCTTGAACAATTTACTGCGAACCATCCATTTACTTTCCGCCTTTTACCTGTACTGTTTCATTGGATCAGCTGTAATTTCTGAATACCAGTTGTATGGGAACACGAAAAATGGTATCCACAACTAACTCGTCACGGAGAAATAAAAAAAGCCTCAGGTCGTCCATTTATCATCCTCTTGGCTTCGTCTGCGACAATATTTCTTTACTTTTTCATCCTTGGGTCGCGCCACCAAGAATACCTGCATACATTTTTTCCACTTTTGCTGGAAAATTCAATCAACAACTGCAGCTGCTGCTCTTTTCAGCAAATACACATGCTACGTGACTACAGGTATACTTAATGAATTTTTATAGGATTAATCCTAGGATATAATATTCAAAAATCATATAAATTGATGTTACTTAAGCATAGAGAGTCTGAAATAATAAGTTAGTCAAAGTAAACCTGAGAAATTCTTTCGATGTTCCTTTTATTGCAACACAAAAATAAATAATATTCATTATTATGTATTTTACCATAATATGTTGACAATGATATAAGATTTTTTTCACCAAGTATATGGATTACTTCTTTTATTTATATTTTTATTTAAAACGGCAATATGATGTAAGTATTGCGTTACAGTTTTATCGAGTTGCACACATCCATTGTAGTGAAACATAATCCTATTCCTTTTGAATATTATCTTTGGACAAATAAATTTAGTAGAAGCAACTAATTTTACACAGAGTATGTTATACAAATTCTCTTATCTATAAATGGCAATAAAAATTTTATACTAAAGAAATACCTTTGACTTGTATAAAATTATTTCCAATTGTTTATTGCTCGAGAATATGAAATAAATGCATAGTAATGAAATAATATACGTAATTCATCTGTACGTTTAATCGTTATACATCTATAAAAAAAGTTCATAATGAAGTTACTGGGCCAGGGTGGAAAAAAAGGTGAAGTTCGATTTCAGGTCTGGACGCACTTGGTGCGTATGGAGTGCCGGCACGACAAGCTCAGGCAAACCAGTCCGTCGTACATCCTCGAGACGGTGAGCCTCTCGAGCCTCCCTAGATCCTTGCACACGTCGTCCTGAAAAGGCAGGGCCCGTCCGACCCTGCCATGCGGGTCGATCCTCTGCAGGTAGCTCACAAACTCGCTCTGCCCGTCGAGCTGGAGGACCAAGAAGAGCAAAGCCCCGCCGGCCGGCAAACTGACCAGTCTCGCGGCGCGCAGGTGCCGCCGGTACGGCTGGGCGTCCAATCGGACGCTGGCGCTTGCGCGCAACTCCTCGTCCAACAGCACGCACTCGAGCTCGTGAAGCGAGACGCCCCGACAGCTGCTTAACCGGCCGGGGAGCTCGGACGAGTGGAGGAACGCCTTGCCCGGTAGGTCCTTTTCGGCTTTTACCTAGTACATTTATACGTTGTTGTTTCTTTTAGTATATCTCGTACGAGTGTGCGAAGGCTTCGATTTACGAATCGAGAGGTTTCGTAATTTTTCCGCCTTCTCACCTCAAAATAGCACTTTCGCCGCTTGATTTAAGGTTTTCAGGCGGAATAATTACTTTACTCTTATCAAGATTAACAACACTTTTCAAATAAAACACATCTCGCTTCAAGTATTATTCGCTCGTAGGGCGCAAAAATCACAAATTTTCAGGGGAGAAAGGGGGGGTCCAATAATATGAAATCACTCCAAAATTGAATGAATAGAATCACACTTTTGATTTAACTGGATTAAATTGTACATAATTATCATCAACATTCTATTTACAATTATTTTCAGTTACTTTCTACATTTTATGAACTAAATGTAATCATGAGTTTTTTTGTAAACATGAAGGGATATTTTAATGCTGAATAAAGTATGGCAAAGGAATATTATTGTTATCGATTGATCTTTCCAAGCACCACTTGACTAAAAAAAATACATGATTAGATTAAATCATGGACCTACACTATACATTTCAAATTCGTATGCGTTTAATTTTGATTTTATAAGAAATCCAAGAAATAATTAGGGGGCTGGGGGTCCGGACCCCCTAGACCCCCACCGATTGTTGCGTTGCTGACTATAGAGATACAGCTTATTAAAAAAATAACACGTTTTAATTAATAAAAAAATAAAAATCGTGCCCAACGCTGACCTGCAGATCCTGATCAAGCAACCGTACGACCGTCCGATCCTCGTCGAAGCTCGTAACAAAGTACCCCCAAGAAAACTCCTTCTCCCCCACGGAGCTGACGTCCCAGGGAACTCCTTCGAGCACGTGTTCGAAATCCGTCGTCCCAACGAGCACGGCATTCTGATCGTACCTCAACCTACATGCCTTGCCCGCCGTGCAGTTCATGTGTCCAGGAAGGAAAACGTCAAACGACTCCTCTCCAACGACAATCACCGGCTCTGCCGACGATACACCATCATCATCGTAGTCGATGATCCCGTGACGGTGGAGGGTAAGCAGCGCGTGCTTGGACTCGCAAGTGTCCGGATCTATGACTACGGAGAGCAGGCTTTCGCTCGTCAGGATGCCGAGGACGAGTTTGCCGTTGGCCAGGGTGTCGAGGCTCAGCGGCCAGCCGAGCTTACCGACCGCCGGTAAGGGAACGTCGCAGGGACGGTAGGCTATTTTTTCCGGCTCCAAGCGGATTTTGGTTTCCGGCTCGCGCGGGAAGGACACGAAGATCAGCTGGTCGTAGGTTTTCGCGACCATAGGCCGGAAGTACGAGGCCCCGGTAAGGATCACGCGGTCGCTCGTTGTCACGATCGAGCTAGATGTTTGGTGGACGAGGAAGAGGAGCAACGAGAACATGGTTTCTTTCGCGCGCGAGCCGAGGGATCACTATTGTGCTCGTGTACTTTATGTGGATTTTTCATGGCGTATCGCGATGACTCTCGGCGCTCTCGTTTCATCAGTTTTTATATACACGCGGGCTGAAAGATTAAAGCAAAGTACGCGAGAGCCTATCGCGACGGAGATAACTTTTTTTTTTCTTCTTCTTACGCCGCGGCGGCCTGTTTTTCGTTCATCTCATCTATTACAACTGTTAACGTGTCCCTTGACCTTCTCTCTTCTCTTGAGTATTAAATGTGTGACACACTTTTTTTTTTTTTTTTTTGTTCTGTTCTGTTTTTGATAAACAAAATTTATACGCTCGAGAAATTTAAAAATCAGATCTCTAGTCGAGTGTACGTTTTATTGATTCGAGAATTGTATAGGCGTCAAGGAATATATGATACACTCTTGACTTTCGGTGTGCAAAAATAGAGCCGTTGCCGCAAAAACTCCAAGCTGCGATCTTCGACGCTAGAGCCGTACTCTTTTTTTCAAATCGTTTCACCCGCAGAGCCCATCCGTGCACGCGATTTTCGAGCAGGTGACTCCATCACGTGTGATGGCTCACCTTGTGTATTTTGCAGTATTATTTTGATGAGCCGATACAATTGTGATGTCGAATATATTGTACTTGAATGAAAAAATTTCCACAATCCCATTACCCCAGTTAGCACGACTCGTGTTTTGAACGTTATACATAGTAAACACGGGTTTTTCCAAAAACACAAGTTTGTTACGTGATTTATCGCAACTGTGACGTTTTATACGTACCTAATCATGACAGTCATGATATTGGCACCAAACGATCCGAGTTTGGATACGCGATAATTTCTGTTACAAGTAGCTGAAGCGTAATTAAGTATTTGCCGTGAAGGGCGTTCTTTCCTTATACCGATCTTCAGGGCTGCGAGTGCAGTTTGTACACGTAACCAAGTCTTCAAAGTAAACAAGTGGCTAAAAAAAAGGCACAGCTGATGTGAGGGAATAAACTATACTGTTGTTGCCAACTCTGTGCCATTATTTTTTACCATTTCTTTGCGATTTGTAACGTTAATTTTATCTTACAGACAATAATGTTGGATGCAAATAGTATATTTCCAACCTTGGGCGTTTTCGAGGGTTGGGTGTGCCTTTGGTAGGAAAAATAATAGGCACATCGAATCGAGGCAAGCACAAGGAGTTCTGGTCTGGTGCTTGTCTTGGCGACATGCGCAACCAGGTGCGAACCCTATTTTTTCTACCGAAGGCACACCCAACCCTCGAAAATGCCACTGACGAACAAATCATCATACAAATTCTCAGAATGAGTTTGGGAGTTCATGATACCCTCATAGAGAGGAAAAATTTCATCAATGGAAGCTTAGCCTAATTCAGAGAAAATTATAATGATAATTTGAAAAATTATGAAATTATCTACAAAAAAAAAAACGTCCTTGGATAAAATTAAAAATAATTTGGTATGTGCGTACGTTATGTAAGTAATATAAGTAGGCGTTTATGTATGTAAACAGTCATACTTAATAACATTGATATATATTGATAAAACTATAAGACTATTATTTCAATTGTGTGCTTCAACATTCATTGTACATCTTTATTTATTATTTGTTGGTCAGTTGGTTTAATTATTTTACACGTACTAAAAATTAGCACTTGTTTAACAAAGCAAAGACAGATATTCCTCAAACAATAGAATTAGTATCACGTGCTCCATTATTACGTATACATCCTAATGTATACACATCTTTTTAAAATCACGGATTAATCCTAAAAAGACCCTGGTGTGTATTGTATTATTCTAAATTTGCGTCCTGATGTAAAAAACGAGCAAAATACCGAAGCTTTTTTAGGTACGCGCACACATTAATCCCCCGAAACATCATTTTCATCGTCATTCGTCATCATGAGTTTCCTTTACAAGCCTTGCAAATAGTGGTGAAATCTCCAATTTATCCAAAAGCCGTGCGCGTCCAAATCGATTTTACTCCCTTGTAGGTGGAATATGGTCGCGGAATATTTCGACGATACCACGTACTCGCAACTCGATGATGTGCTTTGCTGGTGTGGTCCACATTTTGGGGGCAGCCCATCCAGTACTGGGACGACAATTTGGGATTTGTGTCTACTATTTTCCTACGCGCGTCGTCGAACTGCCAAAAGTACCTTCCCTTGAAAAAGTACGTTGTACCTAAAAAAAAAAAAAAAATAATAGGAAAATTAATTACAAATATTAGTTAGCTTTGCTCAACTTCATTAAAATGTCGTTCCGTAAGCGTTAAATTGTTTAAAATAATCATATCCAAGCAAGCATTTTAACTAATTTGATGTATGATTGCGTACTTATGTATACAAAGGTGTAGTGTATATGCTTGCATTAAGGGTCAATTAAATGTTTTCTCCGTACTCAGCAGTTATTCTAATTATTATTTAAAATGAAAAATAAATTTCGAAAACTCGACTTACTAATATTGTCCAACAATAATTTTACGGCGATTGGATTTTAATATATGGATCGATAAAGTTATGATTACAGCGTTTATAATAAATTGTCTTGCAACTAATACAATCTAAGTACGTAATTGATCATTTGATCGACAGAACAATTATAACGTTAAATTGGTCGAATAATTAAGTATACCTGTGAATATACCCTTACCATTATTTGCGTGAAAAGCAGCATCGATGTTTTTACCGATATTCGTAAATAATCTCCTTAACACGATTACTATTCTCATTGAACCTAAAACAGTTGATGCATTGATTTTTCTCACCGTCAGTTTTTATCCTTTTAAAAAACCAAATGATGATTATTTGTGACTCTTTTTGGTTTTATTTTTATTTCGTGTATTTTTCATACGCTTGAGGTTACTAGAAAAATGAAAGTTATCTCTAATCGTAGGAAAATATGAAATAAAACTAAAAAAATTTTTTTGTCAACACAAGCATCATACAGAAGAAGTTACATATCAATACATACTTCCAATAATTTTTGCCGCTAAAGAAATAAGTCCCATTGTCGCGTTTCCATATCATGGCAGCGTCAATTTTTTTTAGATTACGAGGCAAGCCAAAATCGGTGAGGGGCCCCGAGTACATTAATTTATTGGACCCATTAAAGACGTAATACTCGCTGCCAATAAAAAACACCACGTTACCGTCAGACCTTTCATAAACTGCGTCCACGTGATCGATTGTCTTATCGAATTTGAAGTACCCATCTATTCTGGTTGACTCGTTGTAAGAGAATTTTTTAATGTTTGTTGCCATCCAAAAGTACTGCAAACACATTTATTTTTAGCACGAAAGTTTAATCGACAAGCCATATCACACTATTGAGTCATTTTGGGAGGTATATCTGATCAAACTATAAAAAGAAAGAAATTAAATGTTGAAACTTGTGAAAAATGCACAGAAATTTTTTTTTAACACATTTTGGAGACGCCCGACAGTCGAGATATTAGAGAAACGAAATTTTGTCTTCCAACGTGGGGTTGAGTAACAAATTGAAATTTTTTTTACAATAAAATTGAAAGGTATGGAGTAGTTTCAATGAAATTGTTTCTATTCTAGGATTTCATAGCTTCTCCACTTATTTGGTGAGATATTAACAACTATTTCCCGAAATTTTTTCCGAACATTTCAAATGATAAATGTCAAGTTTATGTTTTTAATTGTTTTTCGCATTTTTTTTCTTAAATTTGAAATTTTTATTTAAGTCAACTCTAAACAGTTAAGTTCGGAGTTTTACTCCTAGAGTTCCAAATATATTTCCTTGACTATGCACAAGGATTATATTTTTAGTCTAGAAATAATTAATTTATAAATGACCCACTTCTCCGGAAAATATCCATAGCGACCCACTTAAGAGGCTCACGGCGTCGTACTTCCCGAGATCACATCCCCGGGTCTCCTCAAGGTTGGTATTGGACCGACGCGTGGTTGTACTGGTTATTTGAGTTTTTATTTCATGATAAGGTAGCGACCCATGTGAATAATATTTGAATCGATGTTGCATTTGTCTTTGATTTGATTTCCGCTTGGGTATCGCCGTCGTTGTGGTAGCAGGTCGAGAATACATTACCCTTCGATTATTAACTGGAGCTCCTGAAAATTACATTCAGAAAAATGATGAAATTAATTTTAAAAATTTGGTAAAAAAAATATTTCTATGATCTATGGAATGGTGTGCAAAAATTCAAAAAATCTGTGTGTGGTGAGTACCGGTTGGAGTAAAAATGAAACTAAATACGCCTGTCTACAGTACTGATAGCAACCACAACAATCTCATTCTGAGAAATAATAAATTTTTAATTCTTATTGGTGCATACACAAAAAAAGGAAAATAAATTCTTACCGTATAGCTTTTGGATGTTTTGCCTATCATACAGTGGCAGCTCGTAATCAGTAGGTAACTGCTTGTAAATGAGAAACATCAGCGAGTCGTTGGTGTCGTTTGTCGAGGTATGCCCCAATCCGAGCGAGTGGCCGATTTCGTGAACTGCGGTTGAGAACAGATGCGTTTCTGCAAACAGAAGGAGACGATGAGTTACGGATATTATTTTGTTATATTAATTTAAAACGTGACAAAAATATTTGATTGACATTACTTTTTTTATTGCAGTTAGCTAGACAAATTATATTTAAGTACATTATATGTTGCACTCCAATAAAAAACCAATCAAAAATTTATCATTTTAATAACTGGAATGGTCAAAAAAGGATTTTGTACATCGTTTATTGTAACTAAGACATGCTTGAATAAAAATAAATTGACAAACTTCTGTCACACTATCGTGATGGAAGCACCAAAACGGGGGGACTAAAGTATTTAATATGTAAATTGATGATTTATTTTTGGTCAATCACGTCCTGATTTCAAGAAAACCCATTTTTGGCCATTACAGTTTTTATTTCGATTTACGGGTGTAAATACCGATGAGAAACCAATAGAGATGTAGCTTTACCACTTTGAGCTTAAAAATAATTTACCATGCACGAACATGTCAACTAATTGTTTGCTATCAAATTTCAAGTAAAAACGGCTCTTGCATCATTAAATTTGTCTTAATACCACTAAATCGTGAACATTTGTATAGAAAAAGTAAAAAATAAAGAATAGGAGATATGCAGAAGCAAAAATAAATGTAGCCTAACATAACTTACTCGAACTGATGTCAGAGTTTTCAGTCGTCCAATCCTCATCAGCGTCAAAGTGGACATCGCCGGCAAGATTCTGGTTTGGATAAAAAGCATGTGCCACTACCCCTCCCATGCCATCGAAATCACTGTAGTCACCATGTTCTTTTCTGTAAAGTGTATCACACAAAAAATATAATATTTTACTCAACTGCCAATTCTACGTGTGTCAAATTTTAAATAAAACACTCGAAGGTCAGCTGCAACAATGCCAAAGTGCTGGGATATTACAGTAATTTGTGATTCAACTGTTGTTACAAAAATTAATTATCGAGGAATTTTTCTTAATTTGTTTGTTTCAAAAAAAAAAAAAAATCAGCTGACTCTTCCTGGTGATTTAAAAAAATTTTAAAGCTATAATTAAAGGAAAATGGAAATTTACTCACGACTGGAAAGACATCACGATGTCGACATCGTCACTGTTTATTTTTTCTACAAACACAAGTTTGGTGTGTTTTGCCCATACATTAAGTGCTCGGTTTATTTCCTTCCTTACCTCGTCGTATGCAAGTCCATAGGGAATTGGTTTTTTAATACTATGTATAGGAACAAACGAGAAATTAAATTAAACTATTTATTTTTTGCATATAAAAGTTAGAAATAATTTTGTATGAAAAAAAAATAATCAATCAATATTATTACTTTTTAGTGAAATTTTCTCAATTCATTTTTACATAAATATATAAGTAAATTATAGTACATGTATACACGTATTTGGGTTGTATCACAAAAAACACGAGGTTCGTTTGCGTCCACCAAGATTTTCAAAATTTGATTATTAGAAATTTTTCATGATTTTTCGACATTATTTAAAGCCAAAACTAGATGCAAAACTTTGGGCCCGACTCATCTTTATTAATTCATTAAAACTTTTATAAAAATTAAAAAGAGATTACTGTAAAATACTTTTTTAAATTGTTAAAAAATTTCATATTAAAAAATACAT